ACAATGAAATAAACTGTCTGGGTACTAATCATGAATTTAATTTTCATTCAAGAGATTTTTAAAAATTTTTTCCCAAAAGACTATTATAAATGAAGGATTATTCCTTTCTAAAGACAATATCAAAGAAGATATTTTAAACTAAGGCATTATTTTCCATGACTCTCTTTATAGTAGAGGCAAACCTCACAGCTGGAGTTCATAAGTGGTTCTGTGTCTTGTGTAACCCTTGAGCTTATGTTGCAAAGAGTCTGACTTCTGGCAATTTGTGCCTAAGCAAACATGGATGAGCAAATATTCAGTCAAAATAGTCTTTTTGTGTGAGGTGCTGGAGATTGAACCCAGGGCCTTCACTGTGCTGGGTAAACAACCGCTATGCTAAGCCTTAACTCCCAAATACTTAAGTTTTAAGCTAGTAAAAACTGCTGGGATTGGTGGCTCTAAATATAGAACATATGGATCATAGGGTCAATTATTACCTACAAGGATAGAGTTATATGTCTTAATGACAAATTTCACTTGTTATATTATCACTGTGCTTGTAATCATACATGAAGTGTGAAGACATACTTTAGATGTCTTTTGTGTGAATTACTCCCCCAGTCCCCATCATTTACAAATGCATATGGATTGACATAATTATCCTCTGAGTATGACTGCTCTTATGGCTTAACTAGTAAGTAAGTTTTTACAAAACTACCTAAGTACAGACTATGACAGGTAGATACGGTTTCTGTTGATCTGTTATAATGAAATACTAAAAGGACTTATGTATTTCCTGCATAGCAGGTAGATGATATCATACACTGCTTCAAGAATAGATTGGAAGATTCAAGATATGCCTGATAATTTTGATGCAGAGTAAACTGGCTATGAAAAAAAAACACCGATGATCTTTTATTAAATCTAAGAGGAATTCATTTAAAATATCAATCTAAATCAATGACAGCATATAATGCCAGGGAATCAGTATAAAATGGGTGAAACAATACCAAAGGGAAGTTTTGAAATGAATGTACCAAGAAGACAGGGCAACTGAGTAAAAAAAAACAGTGGCATAGCAACATGGCATGAGACTCTTCTATGTAGCTGAGAATTAGTCTACAGGCTTCACAAGCTAGACTCCGATCTGAAAATGGCACAACCTTCATCATTAAACATGCAGCATTTGTGCAGCTATGAGCGCAGCTCTTCAAGCACAATGCATGATCATCCATTCAGCTCACCCTCCTATTGTCATGACCTCTGCTCATTATGAGGTGAAAATGGGACACAGTATCTATTGTACCTATTATGTAGGCAAAGAATCATCATCTGGTTGAGTAGCTAGTGCTAATGGAACGGACACACACGCAGAAACACACACACACATACACACACACATGCCCACGCTCATGCACACACGCATGACCTCAAAACACAAAACCCATAGTCCACAAATCATCAAATGATTGCTTCATTTCTTTAACCACTGATGAAAAAAAAGTACACAGATAAATTTTAATGGTGCTTCAATTATACAAATTCAAGGGGAGCAACGAATGTGTCAGCAATCATTAAGGTATGTTCTTTGTGTGTTGTGCATATGATAGGAGTACAATCAGCATAGGTCAATTACCCTCCTCTTAGTATAACTTTCATGCATATCTTGGGTAAGTAGCAACATAAAAAACTACAAAGCTTTTGTACAGCCATGGAACTCTGATGAATGTGCTATCTAAATGGCCAATTAAATATATAAAGCCTTTTAAACTAATTAAAAGGCTTTATATATGGAGGTTTTCATGAAAAGAAATTAAAACTGTAAGAATTATGTAAATCATCTTTATCTTGTGTGACTGATCATCAAGATATTAACACAATGCCTGAATTACTTTAAGAGCAAAGGATCCAGGAGAGTATACAGCATATGAAAATAATTAAGTGATGTATTTATACTCATTAGTCATTATTTAGTACCTGAATTAATCATTTTCCAAGTTTTACTGTCCAGTATGTGTTTTGTAAGCAACCACCTTTCATATTATTTTTCTCAATGTGTTTATAGTAAGAACTCTTTTGCCCTTAATAGGAACACTGACATAAAGTATATCAAAAATTAGGGAGATCACAATTATCCCTCATTCTCTGATGCCTAGAAAGACAGAATCTATAGAATGTAATTAATTCCCTATCACAGAGTGAGGAACAGAAGTGATGTCTAAATTCTAGAAATAAAATCACCCTCATAGTGATGGATTTGGGCCCACGAGTTTGCATTATTAAATAATGAAGTCTACATAAATGGAACCCTTTTTAACAGCCCCTAAAACAAACAATTCACCAATTGCAAGAAAACAACCATATACTTGATTCACTTTGTAGCTATACTTGTTTCTTGTTTGTGTTGTCTCTTTAGAATCTCCAGAGACATTGTGAAAGTTAGGTAGTGAAGGCATTTTGTATTTATTAAAGAAAAAGTTACTCAAGGTTTGAGAAGACAAAGGAGCCCAAGGATGAGATTAGTGAGGCTCTGGCTCTATTCTAGATCTCCAGAAACAAGCTGACAAGACGCCTACTGCAATGCCTGGACCTGCATGTGCTCTGGCGAATGGAAGACGTCACTACTTAACTTAGTGCTCTTTTTGGCCTCAAGGAACAAACCAGTACTGCAGCAATAGACTGAAAGAAACAGACTGGAGATGAATGGGGAAAGAAGGAAGAAACAAACTCTTCTTTTGAGACAGTGTCTCACTATGTTGTCCTAGCTGTCCTGGAACTTGATATGGAGACCAGGCTAGCCTTGACCTCAACAAAAATCCACCTGCCACTACCTAGTGAGTTCTGGAATACAAATTGTGTGTCACTACGCTTAGCCAAACAAACAAACAAAACCAAAATGTTTTTAGTTATTAGATCTGCTTCAAATTAAAGCAGTTCAGAGTTTTTCAGTGTTAGTAATAGTCTCCTTTTCCGTAATAAGATTCTACTATTGATCTGGAATGGTTGATAATAAAATCTATCAACCTAGAAATAAGTAAAACTACATAGGCTTGTTGAGCATCCCTAATCTGAAAAACCAAAAAGCTTCAAAATCTAATAGTTCTGAGCACCAATGTGATACCATAATTGTAAAGTTCCATACATGGCTTAGTATTGCATACAAACAACAGATGAACTTAAAAACTGCATTAAATGACATAAGGCACACACACACACACACACACACACACACACACACATACATTTATATACAATATAAATGAATTTCCTGTTTAAAGTTGAATCATATCCCAAGGATATGTCATTATGTACATGAAAATATCCCCAAATCTAAAAAACTCTGAAGTCTGAAGCACTTCTGGCTCCAATGATAAGAATGATATATAGTAAAGCATTTGAAAATGTGTTCCGAGTAAACTAGCAAACAAAGGAATGCACCTCTAATAGCCAATGCAGTCAGCAATAAAAATGTTAGCGAGGTGAATTTGATCATGATGATGGTCACATAATATCAAGAAAATTTAAAAATTTGTTAAGCCTATTTCATCTAGATGTAATTTTAAAAATCATTTCAATTATATGATGGCAAATCTATTAATTAAACCAATAATCCATTCATACTTTTTGCATTTCTGCTTTAATTTGGATATTCTTATCCTTAATTTTTGATGAAAATTAAATTTATTTGTAAAACTCTATGTGGAAGGGAGCTTAAAAACCCTAATACTAAAGAATGCTTCCATTTTATTCTTAGTGTTTTTTATTGAATTTATTTTTTAAAACCATCTTTTCTCATTTGCATACCTATCCCAGTTCCCACTCCCTTCCCTCCTCCTGATCCTCCCATCTCCTCCCCAACCCAGCCCCTAATCTGCTCATCAGAGGGGTTAAAGACTTTCCAAGGGGAGTTAACAAAATCTGACACATTACTTTGAGGCAGGATCTTTTCCTTATTTTAAGGTAACTATGAAAACATGAAAATGAATACATTCCCATGTTACACAATCATTTAAGTCCTACTGTGTAAAACACCCCGCCTGCCCTCATAATTTTGCTTTACTCAGCTTTACAACTTTGGCAGTTAAGACTGCCTTGATTCTTACAAATCTGAAGCTGTTCAATCATGTGTTCAAGAAGAAAATTTAGTGAAGTTAGTTTTATAACAATATGCCGAAAATTCCTGAACAATGAGGTTTTAAGTTGTATGCTTAGTCTGACTTTGTCCTCTGCGAGCTGACTGATCTCAAGCATTTATAACTTACCAATATGCATAATAAGCTATATGTATACTAAAATTCATCAAAGAATTTCTTTGTTGCATGAGAATTTTGATCACTGTATTAAAAATCCTAATTTCATGAGCTGGAGAGATGAATCAGTGATTAAAAGCACTTGTTGCTATTGCAGAGAACCCAAGTTTGATTCCAAGAACCTACATGGTGGTTCACAACCATCAGTAACGCCGGTTCTTGTGGATCTGATGCCCTCTTCTGAACTCCATGAGTACCAATTACACACGTGCAGGCAAAATATTCACAGATAAAATAAAATGAATAATTTTTATAAAAATTTTAAAGTCTAAATTCTATGTAGAAATTAAAATCTCATGAGATAGTAAATTAGTCAGGTATGGTGGTGCATGCCTGCAATCCCAGAACTTAGGAGGCAGAGGCAGGAAGGTTGCTACAAATTCAAGGCTAGCCTGATCTACATGGCAATTCACAGACCAGACAGAAACACATATGGAGAATCAGCCTGAACTTCAGCAAGGATATAATACCTCAGTCCTACAAAAAGTTGTGAGTTTTTGTTTTACGAGTATATCTATCTTGATAAGTAAACTACGGCAGAATGAGCCTCCAACTGGCTTACTTCAACATATAGAAAGGCTACATCTTGTCTTAAATCAAGTAATACATAATTTTATCCTCTTATTAATCTTACTTTTCTAGCACATCTTCCTTCCAAATGTCTAGAAACGGACCCATTGAAGTACTTATGTGCGTACACATGGCACTCACCTTCAGAGAATCAAAACAGGCCACCACACGGCCATTTTCCACATGGCAAACTCTTGGCGGATGGGCAAACCTGCACTCTGTATCAGCTCGAGAGCAAGTTCCTCTCTGAAATTCTCTACAAACTTCTAAAGTCAGCCACTTGGTATCTCGAATGAGAGCTACATTAACAGCAGACATATTGAAAGCAAAATGGCAATCAAGTGCACCCTCTTTCGGACAGTAATCTGTCAGTGAGCGGTTTGAGGAGTCTACGTGAATCTGAAGCAAATGAGGAGTGAGAGCAGGTTGCTTTGATGGAATGTGTTTCTTTAGCACTTAGGTTCTCAGTGAAGGCAAACCTAATCTGGTCAAACACAAAAAGCCACTTAAGTCAACTTTGCATCAGAATAACCAAAAATCAAATTAGAGACCAAGCCCTAAGAAGGCAACTACTGAGGTTAAGATATTGAGTACTATATTTTGTTCCTTTACTGAATTTGCTTCAAATAACTGGCAGACTTTCAAAAGAATTCTATGCTGTCTAGTTGATGTTTTCAATTATTCTTACAAAAAGCATATGTTGCTGGCTGCCCTTCAATGTGTGGAATGGTCTCAGATCAAGGGAGAAAAGTCTGTCTCCCCAATTCTGAAGAATAAGTTTGGGAGGATGTTACAACCTAAAAAATAATTTCGCAAAATCAAGGGGAGGGAAAATGACTAAGAAAACTGAGAATGAGAGACAAAATAAACGGGTGAGTTGCTGACAGTGAACTACAAGCACAGCGAGTTTTGTAGGGGCAGGAGTGGAGGAGGGTGTATGGGAGAGGGCTTGGAAAGAGAGCTCTAGAGTAGAATCCAAGCAGCAGAGTTTTCAGAAAAGGCACTTTTCAAAACCTGCAAGAAAAAAATAAATGAAATTAGCTAAAACACTCTAATGCTTCCTTTCAAACTCTAGACTTGGAAAGAGAAGTAGCCGCATCCTCTGTGAGACAGGGAGCATCTACACACTCACACCGCAGCCGAGTGCTGTCAGTTCTCAGCTTACTTATGATCAGTAAAAGGGCGCTTCCCAGTGTAAACTTTTTAGAGGAAAAGCAAGCAACTGCTTAGATACTGTTGTAGTGCAAAACTGGGCAACAGTCCAATCTCTTAAAAATGATAGCTTACTTTTTGATATGTTCAGGGTAGAAATGCATTGTGGAGTCCACTATGCAGAAAATGTCATGACAGCCCCTTACATATTCAATTTACTTGTATGTGTGTCTGGTTTTTAGAGGCTCTAGGAATCTGTCTTTAAACTAAACTTAGCATCAACCTGTATAATTTGTTCTCAAAATTCAGAGCACAGGAATTGCTGAGCAAATGTGACACGTACGCATGGGAAACACACAGGAAACAATGGTGAGACAACTAGCTGGACACTCACGTCATATGAAGGGAAGAGAGGGGGTGCAAACAGAAAATGTGCTTCCAATTGTAGAAAATTCTTTGAGGAACATAGGACTGTTTGTCCTGGGTATATTTTCTGGGCTATTTCTTAGTTTTCAAGAAAGAAAGATTTCAACATACACGAGCAGCTGAGCTAGAAAGCACTGGGGAGCAACGTGCTAGGTATTATGCAGCCTGAAGATTTGCAGTTATCCCAGTGTCAACCAGCAACAGTGGCAAGCAACTCAGCTGGCAGGAAACATGCAAGGTTAATTTGCTGGCGATAGACAATGCACACATCCTGAAGGAAGAGTAAAGCAAAAGTCAGCTCTATGCAGGCAATAAAGGAACTATTTGTTAATGTCATCCAAAGTAGACTTAAATCTCTTGAAAATACTTCACTTAATTTTTAAACATGTCCAACCACTGTTTGTTTGTCTTTTCCATAGTTCCGAAGAAATGCAATATTATTTGATTTTTCAGTTACCATTGAGAAATTAAATGCCCAGGAAATGCAAGTAAGCTTTCTGCTTATCCAGTCAATGGCAAAACATGTATTTTTCCCTCTGACTAATCCTTCAGAGAAAGTTTGCTAAAATGTGTTGTGTGTGACTTATTCACTTTCTTACAGCTTACTGAACTAGTTGGTATGTGATTAAAGACTTGGGGTCATTGATGTCTTGGGAAGTATTACAGTTCTCCTTCAGAAGCAAACTGTTCTTAATTTCACCACTTTCCACAATGGATTTTCCAGTCCCCTTCTGAAAGACTTAATAGCTACTTGTGAATATGGAGTTACAGTTAGTTACTCAACATTGAGCTTAGGGGAATAGTGTGGACTTTCAACAAAAGCTCCAGGGTTACTCTCACTATGCTGAAAGCCCCTTCACATTGCCATTGCATTGCACACAACCATGTACTAAATGGTTAAAGTTGTCGGGCAAATGAAAAAAATGCTGCAGTGGTTATGACAAATTTCTGATAGTTACTCAATATGTTAGAGACACTGCTATATAACCTAGTACTTCAATGCCTCAGTATACATCTGAAATAATTGAAAAAGACCTCAAATTCCAGCAGTGTTTACAGAAACATTATTCACGAATCTAAACTGAAGAATCAACCTATGAACAGATGAAAGGATGAACAAAATGTAGTATATTTACATAATGAAATATATTGCCTTTAAAGGAATGACATGGTGAGACATGCTGTAACATGGATGAATCTTGAAAATATTATAGTAAGAAAATAAACCAGTTTTCATGGATTCATTATGTGAATTACTTATAGTAAAATCCACAGAAATAGAAAAGATTACTGAGTAATGAGCATAGGGACCTCCTTTTGGAGTGATGAAATGTTGTGAATTAGATAGTGGCTATGTTTACACAATTTTAAACATACTATAACCTATTTATTTTATTATTACTATTTTCTGAGACACGGTTTCTCTGTATCTCTCTGGTTGTCTTGGAACTCACTATAAAAGCAGGCTGCTCTTGAAATCATAGAGATCCGCTTCCACTGCCTCCAAAATGCTGGGATAAGAGCGTGCTACCAATCCTGAAAAAATTGTCCCCTGTAAGTGAATAAACTGGACAGTATATGAATTATGGCCTGATAAAGTTACAACTTTTTTTAAGTATAAAGAGACACAGAAGCAAGAAAAAAGCAACTCTATTGAGTAATGAGAGTGAGTAATGGGAAGTAATTCCAATCTTTCTTGTATTCACCTTAGACATTAAATCTCAGCACTGTTAGTTAACTAAGTTGATTTCCATGAGTAAAGCCAGTTCACATATTTTAAGTGGCTTAGTATATTGTGGAAAGTAAATGAAAGAGTGTGCTCCAGAGTGTGTAAGTTTACATTCACACTTAATCCTACAACTAGCTTACATAGGCTGCCTGAACATATATGAAAGGAAACAACCACAAAAAGGATATTTATAAGGGCTGAGGATTTTCTCTGAACATAAACAGTGAAGATCTGGAGAAAGACTTTTCTCCAGAGGCCACCATGTAGACACACAGGTATAAATTATAAATTTTAATTTTGAGCTTACACAAATGAAAAATGCAAAAAGGAACTGGCCTCTGGCCATGCATTCTATGTAACATCAAGAGTGGGAGTGGGAGAAAAAGGAATTTTTTATTTCGCCTATGACCTTGAATGGGACCCTGGCCAATTCCTCGATATGGTTCTAGCCAGCACATGTCTTCCTTCAGGGTGAAAATATTTGGGGAGCTGGCTCAGAAGAAATGAAGTACAACAACAGAAGGAACTGGTGAGAATGTGAAGTTCTCTCATGCAACTGTACTTGAAAAACTATGAATAAAAACTTAAATTTTTAAGATCACCTTGTTTGAGACAAAACAACAGCCTACAGAATGGGAAAAGATCTTCACCAATCCCACATCAGACAGAGGTCTCATCTCCAAAATATACAAAGAACTCAAGAAATTGGTCATCAAAAGAACAAATAATCCAGTAAAAAAATGGAGTACAGACCTAAACAGAGAACTCTCAACAGAGGAATCTAAAATGGCTGAAAGACACTTAAGGAAATGCTCAGCATCTTCAGTCATCAGAGAAATGCAAATCAAAACAACTCTGAGATTCCACCTTACACCGGTAGGAATGGCCAAGACCAAAAACACTGATGACAACTTATACTGGAGAGGTTGTGGGGAAAAGGGAATACTTCTAGATTGCTGGTGGGAATGCAAGCTGGTACAGCTCCTTTAGATGTCAGTGTGACAATTTCTCAAAAAATTAGGAAACAACCTTCCTCAAGACCCAGCAATACCACTTTTGGGTATATATACAAAGGATGTTCAACCATGCCAGGACATGTGCTCAACTATGTTCATAGCAGCATTGTTTGTCATAGCCAGAACCTGGAAACAACCTAAATGCCCCTCGACTGAAGAATGGATAAGGAAAATGTAGTATATTTACACAAAAGAGTACTAAACAGCAGAAAAAAAAGACAGCTTGAATTTTGCAGGAAAATGGATGGAGCTAGAAAACATTATTTTGAGTGAGGTAACTCAGACACAGAAAGACAATTATCACATGTACTCACTCATAAGTGGTTTTTAAACATAAAGCAAAGAAATCCAGCCTACAAACCACAATCCTGGAGAACCTAGACAACGATGAGGACACTAAGAGAGACTTACATAGATCTAATCTACATGGGAAGTAGAAAAAGACAAGATCTCCTGAGTAAATTGGGAGCATGGGGACCATGGGAGAGGGTTGAATGGGAGGGGAGAGGCAGAGAGGGGAGAAGAGTAAAATGTAAAGCTCAATAATATATATATATATATATTATATAATTATGACAATAATATTCTAGGATTTTAAATACTGATAATGTTCACTGTCCATCTTTTAACATTGCCTTGTTTTACACTGTTTATAGTTAAAATGCTAAGATGTAAGTAACTACCTAAGTAAAATGGATTGTATGTTTTAAAGCCAAAAAAAAAAAAAAAGATTACCTTGTTTGGGGGACAGTAAAACTTTAGCCCCATCGCTTTAGATTTGAACAACAGGAATAAAATTTGGACTTTTTTATTTATAGTTCTTTAATACAGAGCATAAAATTAGTGCTTTTGTTTTTCCTGTATTGCAGTTTCTACATGCTCGGATTGCATTGATCATTGGATGGCTCCAAAAGACTGCAGTGTTTGGTTGTTGTTGGGCTTTTTTAAAGTGCTGAGAATGGAACCCTAAGACTTTCTCATGCTATCTCAAAATACACTAAGCCATGAGTGATAAGTGAAATATTCTGATGAAAGAAATGAAACTCATAAAGTTAAACCGCTTGTTTAACATTACTAAGCTATGAGGGGTTGAGCCATGACCCCAGGCAATATCTTCTGACTCCGAGTCTTGTGCACATATCTCGACAGAGAACACTTTTCTCCCTCGGGAATCTCAAAAGAGGAAAGCTAGTCATTTTGTGGTATACTTATGATTCCTTCACAACATTCCATTCTTGCCTGGTAAGCATCATCACTTTCATAATATCCCCAAGTTGTGCTGAACCAACATATATTCAGTATCTGCTATGTGCCAGGCACTATTGAGGATACTGATAAGATCTCTGTTTTTGTGGAATTTCCTATGTTCATTTACATAAAGAACTATTCTAAGATGCAGAGGTCTGGAAAGATTATATATTAGAGTTGGTGAAGGGTTGGAAGTGGACACTGGGTATTGTGAATTCAACACAAACTTCTTTCTAACTCACCATGAATGGTACACCAAGCACCATGACTGAATACCCATAAACCCACTCTCAAACACTTGCACAGAAGGGAGTCATGAAGAGAAGTACTGAAGAATTACTCACACTAAGATTTATTGCTGCCTAGATTCTTCCTGCAGACTATTCTACTGCTCTCATTTCACAGATGGGGAAATTGAGGTGGGATAGTAAGTAATTAACTTG